TGCCTTGCTGGGGTGTGGGTGGGGAGCAGGAGCAGAGGCCAGCCCTGTGGGCACAGGGACAAGGGTGAGGCAGGCCCAGGGCCGGGCTGTGGGCTGCGCTGTGGAAGCAGTTCTGTGAGGCAGGCTTGGCGCCTCAGCCTCCAGCTGCAAGGAGCTGGTTCTCTGCCCCGCTCCTGCCCACATCCTGCCCAGGAGCAGAGTGGCGGCTGCACGCCCGGGGTGGTGGGGGAGGGGCCCCCACTGGGTGCCTGCCTGGGTACTGGGCCCAGCCTGCACCCAGCCCTAGAGGTGGGGTTGCCAGGCAACCCTGAAGGGGTGGGAGAGAGGAGCCAGCGCCTGGTGGCCACTCACCTCCAGGCAGCAGGGGAGGCACCTGAGGCTAATGAGGTGGGTGGTGGGCCTGGAGCCCTGGTGCTCTGGAAGCTCGTGCCCCACCTGCCTGGGCCGCCTCAAAGCCAGTCATGCCAGGACCAGCCGAGGACTGGGGGTTTGGGAGCGGGAATGACCTGCCGTCCAGTGGCCCCTACTCTGCTTGTTGCCCCTGCACCCACTGAGCCCCTGCGAGGCACTCGGTGCTTCTCATTCCCCTCCTAAGCTGCCCAGCTGTTTCCTTCTGGCCTGTCTCTGGCGGGTCTCCTCTGAGAATTCCTCATTGCCGTCTTTAGCCCCCAGCTGTCTCCTGGCCTGCGTGCCTGAAGCCCATCACATCCCATGTACTTTATTGCAAGTCCCTCCCTTTCTCACCTCCAAGATTTTATAATTTCTTGTTCATATTTTTGCTTCATTTCTGCCGGTTGGTTCATAAGTTCTCATTCTTGTTTATGGATGCCATTCCTTTCTTTATCTCTTTGAAGATCCTGTCTTTGAAAATCATTATTGGGACTGGGTGCGGTGGCTCACCTGTAATCCCAGCACTTTGGGAGGCCAGGGCGAGAGGATTGCTTGAACCCAGGAGTTCGAGACCAGCCTGGACAGCATAATGAGACCTCATCTCTACAAAAAAAATCAAAAAATTAACCAGGAGTGGTGGCATGCACCTGTAGTCCCACCTACTCAGGATGCTGAGGCAGAAAGATAGCTTAGCCCAGGTCAAGTCTATGGTGAGCTGTGATCATGCCACTGCAGTCTAGCCTGAGTGACAGAGGAAGATCTTGACTCAATAAAAATAATAATAAAATCATTGTTAGATTATTGCCTTCCTTTCTTCCGGAAGGAATTAATTTTCATATTTTTGATACTGTTGTTTAGCACTGCTCACTCTGGCACTTTCTTAGCCTCGATTTTCCTCCTGTACTTTGAAATTGTGATTTGCGCTGGTGGGAAGTATGAGCCGAGGTCCTGTAGACAGGGAGTGACCTGCAGGTACCTGACACCCTCAGGCAGCAGCCACCCCTCTGGAGTTTCCTAGACTCTTTTCTCCTTCAATGCCCCCTGCTATAGGCTCAGGGCCCAGATGGGGTTGGCACAGCAGCAGGGGGCAAGTGCTCCCTGTGGCCCTGCAGTTAGGGTGCTGCCTGGCACGGAGTAGGTATTTGGTTAAACGTTTGCTCTGAGAAAGTAGCAGGATTCTAAGGCTGCGATTCTGGAGCCCAGGAATGGGCCTGGTGTGCCTGCCATGGTTCGAGTCCTGTGCTACTCCCTGTATGCTGCCCATGGCCACACCTGGGGGCAGGTGTTCAGGGCACCATCTGGAAGCTGGTGGGCACTTCCGTCCACAGACTCTGCGGGAGTACGGCCACCATCTGGGCATGTGTACAGAGGACCTCACTATCTGACGTACAAGGAGTCAGAAGTGGGCCAGGAGATGTGTGGGTTTTGATTAAATGGAGTTTTAATTACGGTGGCCAGGCCTGGTGGGGCTGAGGAGGAAGACAGAAGCAGCGGTAGTTCTGAGTCTGACTGCAAGAAGGCCAACATGGTTGTTCTTTCAAGGCTCTTCGTGCACGTTCCACAGCATGTGCTCCAGTTTATATGGGACAGCATCTGCCCTCTGCCCTGTCCTCAACAAGGGACAATCACAGGGAGATATTACATTATTAATATGTAATTTCCCTTCTTGGCTAGCAACAGATGACACAAGGATTAATTAGATACACAGAGCCGACCTCGGAGAGGGATAGGAAATTGCCAGACCCTGGCCCCACCCCCCTTCCTGGGGCCTCCCACCTTCCTGTCACTCTGGGAGGTACTGAAGCGGGGGAAGCGTCGACGGGCTGGGAGGGCCCAGGAAGTCTTAGAGCTGCTGTGCTTCCCGTGGGCATCTCCGCAGTCCTTCACCTTCCATCAGTGTTCCTGGTGAGGCTGAGAAGGGACACTTCACTTCCTTGAGTCTCCGCTTCCTCATCTGTCAAATTGGGTTCATGGGGCCAGGGAGATCACAGAGCACTGTCGTTTCCCAGGCTCCCAGGCAGGCTGTGCAAGCTACTTCAGAGCGGCTGGCCTCTTGGACCATAGGGTTTGGTGGCTTAGTGGTGGCTGGCATTCCAGTGGCCCATGGACTTTGTGCATTGCACCCCAGTTCCAGCCGGTAACACATTAGTGGTTTGAAACCAGCCATGGTGGGAGCATTTACATCACAGAAATCAGGTAAAGGCTACAAGTCAGGGCGCTCCAGCCCTGGGTCAATTTGCTGGCCTACATCTGAGCAGCTCCCGACCGACCATTCCATACAGCTCCCCCAGGGGTAGGTGACTCGACCTCCCTCCTCTGACTGCCTGCAGGCGCCTCTGACTGCACTGATCTGCTTGCTCAGGGCAGTGCGGCACAGCTGTGATTGGATTCTGGTTTGGCAGGTGCTCAGGTTGCCTGTGGGACCAGGTGAGCCTCGCCCAGGGTGTGTTGGCAGCAGCTGGAAGCACCTGCAGAAATGCTGAAAGAAGGGGCAGAGGATCGGGAAGGGCATCAAAGCAGCATGTGTGGGCCCTGTGGGCAGGGGCCTTAGGTATCTTTAGCCCCAGGCAAGGCTGGCCATGGCAGGAGGGTCTGTTACCCGCAGTGAGACTGGTGAACAGCAGGACGGTGACTTTGGTGTAGTCGGGAAGGGTACTGACATCCAGTGCTGTTCAGCATGGTGACCCACAGCACCGAAGGCGTGGGGGAGACCCTGAGAATTCAGGGCATGCAAGCAGGCACCCAGGGCTGCTGGGAAAACCTGGCTGGACAGAGGCCTGGCTCAGGCCCCTCGAAGGCCTCCCTGTGCTGGGCATCCCAACTGGTGTGGAGTCACTCCAGCCCCCAGGGCAGGTGTACAGGTACCTGTGACCCCATCAGCAGGGGTCTGGGTGGTAGGGCAGGGAACTCTGCCTCACTTTGGCAGAAATGTGGTACGCTCCACCTTGTCTGCCCCTGGCAGGGCCTTTGAATCTGGGGGATGCTCTGAGCCATGTCAGGCTTCTGGCCTGGGCTGGTCAGATTGGCAGAAGGCTTTGCAGTCCGTCAATGCGGATTCCCCTAGAGGGGACCAGAAGGATGTCAGGTGTTTGTCATCTTCCCCCCAGTGGGCAGTGCTGGTGGGATGCAGGATCCCAGAACAGAGGCTCTCTGGGCCTGACTGCAGGGTGGCCTGTTGCTGTTGGTGGTGGTGCTGGACCTGGAAGGCCATGCCCAGGCACCCAGGTGGGGCGCAGGTGGGTCCTGCCAGCTCCACTGGGGACCTGTCTGAGAGTCTGGTGGGCCCCTGGTAAAAGCTACTCTGGGCTCCAGGCCAAGAACACCAAGGAACAACTGTGGCCCTTGTGTGAGGCCAGGGACCATGCCAGGAGACTTGGTCTGACACTCTTTGTGAGTGGCTGGCTGGCAAGTGCCCTGTACACAGCAGGGGCTTGGCGGGACTTGGCTCTCTCCACCTGCTGCCGGCTGCTCAGACTGTTTCTGCCGGGTCTTTGGCCTCCTCTTCTCCCTCCTGTGTTAGGTGCTCTGTTCTGAGCCTCCTAGTAGGGGCAAAAGGGCCTGTTGGGGGCAGAAGAGCCCCCCAGTTGTGGCTACGGCTGCGCTCGCCCTTACTCCAACCACCCGAGGTACTCACAGCCTTGGAGTTAAAAGGAAAGTCACAGTTCTTCTATATCAGCCCTCTGTCACCTGGATAATGTGGGAGCTGGTGGTGAGCCTGGCCCTTTGCCTGGTATTAGGGACCAGAGGTGACCTTCTCCCAAGGTCACCAGTCCTGCTCAATTCTCTGCATCCTGGAGGAGAGGGGGAAATGTGGTTGCCCGAGCCCACATGCAAGGTAGCTTCCAGCCTCTTGTCCCCAGGCAGTTGGTGGCTGCTGCCCATGTACCCCAGGGGCCCCATGAGGATTCAGGACTGGAAGTGGGTGGATTCGGGGGCCTCTTAGCCCTCAGAGAGAGGCAGTTGAGTGGGCAGAAGCCCACTTCAGCAGAGATTATTTTACAAGCTCAAAGGGGAAAACAGAGTTTGGGCTACACTTGGGCCTGTTAGGGATACCAAGACTTCTACCTCCAAGGGGTAGTCAGTAATTCCTGCTGTTTCTATAGCATTTTGACTCTGTGAGAGATGTTTCAAGTCTGCCTGTTTACTCACACAAAAACATGGGTGAGGGCTGAAATGGCCCCTAGAGGTCATCTGGGGCTCACCCGCCTTACTGTATCAACGAGAAGACTAAGGTGCAGAAAGGAAAAACATTCTTCCCATAGACCCCCAGTGAGTCCTGGCTTTCTGCCAGGCACCAAACTTAAATCAATCATTCGTGGTGTCAGCCAGGCAGCAGAGTGGGTAGGGAGGGTGTGGGAGTGGGAGGTGAGACAGCTCCCTCAGAGGAGGGAAGCTCACAGCAGCTGCAGCCCCTGTTCCGCCCTAACTGCAGCTGGCTGGTGGGGGCACCTGCAGGCAGTGGGTTCAGGTTAGTGTGAGAAGGCTTACCCTCGCCGGCAGTGGGAGACAGGATCAGACAGCTCCCCAGATCCTTCCAGATCTAAGCTCCAGGGGTTGCTGGACTGTCCCTTGACTGGGCATCTGGTGTTCCTTGGATGTCCCTTGGATGGACGCATGTCGTTCCCAGGAGAGCTCTGATGGGGATGCAGCAGGCCGGGGCACTGAAAAGCTGGCTCAGCAAGAGAAGGTGGGTGGTCCTGGAGAGCCTAAGTGGGGAGGATCTTTCTGGGAGGGGCAGGGAGGATCCTGGGGCTGGCTGTGATTCAGGACCCAAGAGACTGACCAGGCCGCCATAGAGGCTTGAGAGGCTGAGCAAGGGGGCCTACGTGAGTGACTGATATTGAGAGATTCTTGGCTCCCCTGGGAAAAATACTGAGACTGCTGCTGGTTCTTGGCTCTGGGTCTAGGATAGGAGGGGCTGTGACCCCAAGACCCATGGTGGGGAATGCAGGGAGCCTTGGACAGTACTGGGGGAGGGGCAGGGATGAGCTGGAGTCCTGGAAGGGACCCAGCCATGGATCTGCCCACAATCACCAGTCCTGCAGCACTTGGGAGAAGGGGCCGCCTCCTTGTGTGGGGGTCTTGACAGGAATTCCACTGGACCTGGGGAAGCAACTTTGCTCAGAGAGCTCTCTGGGCTCATGTCCTCTGCAATGGGGGTCAGGATCTCACCTCTCCTACCTCCTGGCTGTGACCACAGCAGAACACAGAGGGTACAGGGAGCATGCGTAGGCAGACACCCGGCCTGCCGGTGGGGCAGGATCTGAAGCCATAGGGTCTTCAAGGGGCCAGGTTGGGCGTGGGGTGTGGTTGGCAGCCTTTTGCTGGGTCCACCCTCTGTAGGTGGTTCAGCTCCTCACCAGCTCTCCCTTTGCAGGTGCCTCAGGAACGTAGAAGCTGGTCCGAGCCATGACGCTGCCGCCTGAGCCCCTGGAGAGGGCCTGGTTTCGTAAGACTTGGAGTCATCTGTGAAAAAGCCCTGCCAGGGCCACACTTGGCTCCTGTGAGAGGGGGCTCAGGGATCTGGGTCCCCGGAGCCAAGTGGGCGGGCGGCCGGGCTGCAGCTATGGACCGTGAGCTGGCCCGGCCCGTGTCCTTGCCGAGCCTGCCCATCTGCAGCTGTGCCCACCATGGGCTCCTCGGTGTATATCACAGTGGAGCTGGCCATTGCCGTGCTGGCCATCCTGGGCAACGTGCTGGTGTGCTGGGCTGTGTGGCTCAACAGCAACCTGCAGAACGTCACCAACTACTTCGTGGTGTCGCTGGCAGCAGCCGACATCGCGGTGGGTGTGCTTGCCATCCCCTTCGCCATCACCATCAGCACTGGGTTCTGCGCCGCGTGCCATGGCTGCCTCTTCATTGCCTGCTTTGTCCTGGTCCTCACGCAGAGCTCCATCTTTAGCCTCCTGGCCATCGCCATTGACCGCTACATCGCCATCCGCATCCCACTACGGTGAGCAGGGCTGGGGTTACATCTGTGCAAAGGCTGCCTGTGCCCAGACTTTGGTCTGTGCCTGTGGCCGGGGTGAGCCTGAGGTCAGGGGCTAGTCTGTAGTGTCAGCGTGGTGAGCTGCCCAGGACTGGCACATGGCCAGCAGTCATGCCGATCTGACTTATCTCCGTGGGCACAGAGTGCTACTGCCTGTGGCCAGCCCTGCTCTAGCTCTGGCAGAAGAGTGTAGCTGGGGCCTGGTGTGTGGGCTGAGGGGGAGCATTGGGCCCAGTGACCCATCCACTGCCGGCAGGTGTGTCTGGGCCGGTCTTCACACAAGAGCAAAACTCTCTGCATGATGCTGGGGTGGGTAGGGAACTGCGGGAAACCACAGGACCTCAGAGCTAGGAGCCCGCCTGTCACCCACCTTCCCCCAGCTCCTCTGGGTCAGCTTCACAGTGTGCACATTAGGAAAATGACCCAGAGAGGGGAAGTGACTTGGCTGAATGCCACAGTGAGTCACTTGGACCTATATGCAAATTTTGTTGCTCCTCAGGTCACCGAGGACTCTGATCTTGGAGGCAGCCTGTGCAGTCTCAGGGACTGACTGCTGGAGGGGGTTTTTATGGTGAATACTTTGGGAAGTGACTTCAGCCAAGTATTGTGTAAATGAAGATTTTTCCCGAGACTGAGTTTACTTGGTGTTGCCACCAGCTACCCAGGCCATAGATAAGGCTAGAAGGAGCCTCCTGCCCATCCACCATGGAACTGGGCTCTCCAGCCTGAGTGGTATGGGCCCCGAGGCCATAGATGAGGCTTGAGATGGTACCTCTCGAGAATCAGGGATTGGGGTATCCTGTCTTAGTGGTGAGTTCTCCCAAACAGGTGGCATGCCCAACTACAGAAAATGCCACAGCAGCCCTCTCTGGGCTGAGGGTGCCCTAGCAGAGAGGCAGACTAGGCTCAGTAAGCAAATGGAAATTTAGAGTGTCAAGCCCAATGGGGCCCATCGAGGTCATTTCCTTTCATCTTCCACATGGAAAAATGAGACTCGGAGAAGGGATCCAGCCATCTCAGGGCCACACAAGTTGGTAGCAGAGCTGGGACTAGCCCGGGAGGAGACGTGGCCTGCCACCCACCGGGACTTCAGTCATTGGGGAGTGGTCATGGGCAGCCTGTCTCCCAGAGTCTGCACCTGGGCTCGAAGGGGGAAGCAGTCACCCACATTAGGCTGCTCCGAAAAGGGGGAGAGGCCTGGGCCCCACATTGACTTATCAGATGCTTTCTATCCCGGGAGAGCCCAGAACCCTTGTCAGAAGGGGATCCTGACCGGCACTCACAGGGGGCTGAATTAGAGATAGTCTGACTCCAGGTACAGTCTGTGGGGATGGCTTGGGCCCCCCATTTCTCTATCCCTTGCTCTGTGAGGGGGGGACGGGGGAGAACAGAGTCCAGGTTCATGCAGTGACAGCTCAGAACATGGAGGCCTGGGGCTCCTATCTGTGGGTGCCCGGGTGGGCCAGAAAACAGAGGACTGGAGTCTACTCACGGGGCCAGGCCAAGCCTGCACACTGGTGGGAAAGCTCCTTGAGGAGCAGAGGCCTCACTGTCACTTTACCCTTTGACTTGGAGAGCAACATCCTATGGAGTGATTAGTGCTGCTGTTCTCAATTTAAAGGACTTTAGCTTTTTATTTGTCTCTTTCTCTCTGTTTTCTGAGAACCAAGAAAATGAGTCCCTGAGACAGAAGGGTTGTGCTGTGTAGCTGTGGAAAGTCAGCTGCCCCCTCTGGGCCTGTTTCTTCATTTATAAAATGGGTTCCATCTCTGTCTCTCTGAGCTCACAAAGGCGTTGTGAGGGGCCAGTGAGTGGATGGGAGTGATGGAGACCCAGAGGAGGGTTGGCCAGAGCCATGGGCTGAGAGCTTTACAGTTGCTGAAGGACATGAGCCAGCATCTCCTTTGATCCTCTTGGCCCAGCATTGTGGCCAAGGCGGATGTTATGACCCTCCTGTTACTCATGGGGAGGCCAGAGCAGGGAAGGACAAAGGAGTATCTCCTCATGTGGGTGGACTCTAGGTGCCTTCACTTTCCTATTCCTTAAGGCTTCTGAGCCGCCAGGCATGTGGAGATGTCCATGTGGGGGCTCCTGAGAGCAAGCTGGGCATGAGGAGGAACTTGGAGGCACTCTTGACTGACTCTGGAGTTGCTGACTGGCTCAGGCTCCCTTATCCTCCCCCCTTCCCACCCTTGTCCCCTTCACAGCTAGGGACATGCTAATTCCTGCTCCACTCAGAAAGGTTCATGTGGCTACTCCGAGGTCCAGCCTCTGATCGATGCCCTGGATGCCTATACCCAGGCCTGTATCACTCACCACCATTAATTTTTTTTTTTAAGAATCCAGTTTAGCCGGGCTCGGTGGCTCAGCCTGTAATCCCACGCCTTTGGGAGGCTGAGGTGAGTGGATTGCCTGAGCCTGTGGGTTCCAGACCTGCCTGGGCAACTTGGCGAGACCTCATCTCTACAATAAATAAAAAATGAGCCGGGTGTGGTAGCACGCGCCTGCAGTTCCAGCTACTCGGAAGGCTGAGGCGGAAGGATCGCCAGAGCCCAGCAGGTCGAGGCTGCGGTGGCTGGGAGCGGCCACTGCACTCCAGTCTGGGTGACAGAGTGAGACTCCAACTCAAAAAAAAAAGAATCCAGTTTCATCAGAACTGGCAACCAATTCCTGATCAAACCCCCCCTTCCAAAAAAAAATCCAGTTTCAGAAAAATCTTTTTTTTGAGTCAGAGTCTCACTCTATCGCCTAGGCTGGAATGCAGTGGCACCCTCACGGCCACCACAGCCTTGACCTGCTTGGCTCAGGTGATCCTTCCATCTCAGCCTTCCAAGTAGTTGGAACTTCGGGCACGCGCCACCATGCCTGGCTAATTACTGATTTATTGTAAAGATGAGGTCTCGTCAAGTTGCCCAGGCAGGTGGTCTCAAACCCCTGGGTGCGTGCAGTCCTCTCACCTCCACCTCCCAAAGTGCTGGGATTATAGGTGTGAGCCACAGTGCCTGGGTAAATCTATCTACTCTTTCCCAAGTACAGGGAACCTGCTGGACTAGAGCAGGGCCTAGTTGAGGAAGTCCATGAGAAAGAAGCCAAGCCAGAGGTGGAGATGTAGTTCTGAGTCCCCAGAGAATGGAAGACTCAGGGTGACAGACACAGGCTTCTTTCCTGGGGGTCTTTTGCATCATTGTCTCTTGCCTCTCAATTAGCCCCTGGTGAATGCTCTCATTCATTGAGGAACAGGCCAAGGTGCAGGGTGGCAGTTGGAGCCGCATCTGAAGTTGTATGTGGTGAATCGCCCTGACTTCTAAGGAGGCTAGGATTGGAAGAGAGGGCTCCCTGGAAGAGTTGACACCTGATGGGTCTTGCAGAATGAGCAGTTTTCTTTTTTTTTTTTTAGTTGGAGTCTCACTCCATTGCCCAGGCTGGAATACAGTGGCACGCTCACAGCCACCCTAGCATTGACCTACGGGACTCAGGCGATCCTTCCGCTTCAGCCTTCCAAGTATCCAGAACTACATGCGCGCTACCACGCCCAGCTAATTTTTTGATTTATTGTAGAGATGAGGTCTCACCAAGTTGCACAAGCTGTTCTCGAACCCATGGGCTCAGGCAATCCTCTCAGCTCAACCTCCCAAAGTGCTGGGATTACAGGCTTGAGCCACCTGGCAGGGTCTTGATGGCATGTATATAGGGACAGGTGTGTCAGGAAGGGGGTTAAAGCTTGGAACAAGGCCCTGAGGAAGGCATGAGCATGTGGGCACTGGGTCAGACAGCGGTGGCCTGACTGCTGGGTGACAGAAAAAAATGAATAGAGTGAGCAGGGATGGTGAAAGCTGACTCAGGACCAGAGAAAGGAGTTTGTAGGTCAGTGGCTTTTCAAATCCTAACAGGGATCCCCAGGAAGGGGAAGCCTGTGAGCTGGACGAGACAGGGATGCAGAGGGCTCCTCCAGATGGGGCAGGCGGCAGCTCTGACACCTGCATCATCTGATACCCCTACCACCCTGGAATGGCAGAATGGCAGGCTAGATGGCTTTAGCATCCCTTCTGGCTAGGTGGTCTGTGTCTGGGGTCTGGGAGGCCAAGGTGTGACTGTGTTAGTCACAAACACGGCCTAGGGGATGCTTCTGGGCCCAGCCAAGGCTAGGCTATGGTTCCATTTGAGCCCTGATGCTGTCCTAGCCCCCTGGGTGCCAGGGTCCAAGGCTCCCAGCCTAAGGGACTTTCTTTGAATAACAAAATCAATCTATTTGTGATTTTTAGAAAATAATATTTGCCCATGCTAAAAAGGAACAAAGAGTATATAGTATAGTGGAAAGTTGTTCTCCATACCCCCCACTCCACACTCCACACTCCAGTTCCCTTTCTGGAAAACCATGTTGGAAACCCTTCCAGAGATATTCTTTGCATATATAGGCCAAGTGCTATTCAAGTATGTTGTTTCTGTCCCCACAAGGGACTTTTTCTGCAGAGTACAGTGGGAGACTCCCTCGTGGGTTCCCCAGTCTGCACTGTAGACAACTGGACAGACCAGGGATTTCCATATTGTATTCCTGGAAGCCTTCAGGCCAGCCCCGGTATCCCGATCAACTCACGTCTCCAATAAATATTGATTAAACCCCTTCCCTTTCCCAGCAGCTCCACCTCTGGGATTGCCTGGGGATGTGGGTGAGAAGGTCTGCTGCTGGGGAACACTGTGGAAACCAGCACAGCATATGACCCCAGGGCCTAGGCAGCTCTGCACCGCCCTTGTGTCTGTCTGCTTGTTTCTGCTTGTTCACCTCAAATGACAGGAAGCTCACTACTGCCTGAGGCAGCCCATTTCTTCTGTCCTGAGCCACAGTCAGCCTCCCTGTAATTTATACCCACTGATTCTGCCCTTAGGGGGCAGTGCTGATAGGTCTCTCAGTCCTATTTTACAAATAAGGAAACTGAGTCTCAGAGACATGAAGTCTCAGAACATTCCTGTCTATAGGAATGCACTAGGGCAGAACCCAAGGGAGGGATATGTTTTTCTCAGGAAAAATGTTAAAATTAATATAGCCTCCCTCCCAGCACTTTGGGAGGCTGAGGTGAGAGGATTGCCTGAATCCAGGGATTCAAGGCCAGCCTGGACAACTTGGCAAGACCTCGTCTCTACAATAGATCAAAAAATTAGCTGGGCATGGTGGCACATGTCTGAAGTTCCCGCTACTTGGAAGGCTGAGGTGGAAGGATCGTCTGAGCCCAGCAGGTCAAGGTTGCGGTGACTGTGAGTATGCCACTGCACTCCAGTCCGGGCAGCAGAATGAGACTCCAACTCAAAATAAATAAGTAAATTATATATATATATATATATGTATATAAAACCTCCCACTCAGTGAGGTTATAAAAATTACTATTTGTAGAGCAATAAGAGCAATGCCTGGCATACAGTGAGTGCTATATAAGTATTAGATGAGGGAATCTATATTGCTTTCCAGAAATGGGCAAGTCTGTGACCTGTCCAGACCCTGCTATGCAGGACCAAAGAGCTCCTGAGAATAGATCTGCCTGGTTACTGTTTGGATTGAGGATTGATATAGGAAATTTAGAACAGACAGATTTACCACTTTGGCCTGAGTTGCCTCTGAGCTGCTGGAACGCCCATTCATATTAGTGGGTCTCAGTTTAACCACCTATAAAGTGAGGGAGTTGTACTAGATAAGAGATCAGAGGCCACCAAGGATTTTTTTCTTAAGTTGACAAAATTTATTTATTGGGTGATTTTACCCAGAAAATCAGCTCTCCAGCTCCTCCTGAGATCTGGTAAACAGCGGGCACACATTTTTACATGGCAGCAAAGACCAGCTAAATGCCCCACCAGCCTGTCTCCCATATGTGCACATGCAGGTGCCTGTGTTTGCCACACTTGGACAAGATAACCTCTGTGGGTGTTTCCAACTCTGGATTATGTAGAGCACATTTTTCTTTGACACCTACTGTGTGTCCCAGTCTCAGAGCTGGCAATGCAGAGATGGGTAGAGGAAAGCCCTGCCCCAAGGAGCACAGATGAGGTTGGGATTTGCTGCACTTGGGTAAGACACTTTTCTGAAACAATCTCTAGCCTGAACTTGACAGATAGGTAGGGTGTCCACCACGCAGAGGAGAAGGGAGTCTGATCTTGCCAAAATTGAAACCGTTAAATAGAAGGTTGTCCCTTAGTAATCATCCAGGCTGCCTTCCTAAATCAGGGAGACCTTTTGTTGATTGTCCATTCTTTTATAAAATATATGCCATCTTTCCTATGGGACTGAGGTCTGCTTCCTGGCTAGTGGATCAAGCTACTCCCCAAGTCTGGGCCTGGGAAGCAGCAGGCTTGGTTTTCTGTCTGGCTCTAGGAATACTGAGTGATTTCAGGCAGATTACTGTCCCTTTCTGGGTCTCACTACCTCATCCAAGTATTTTCTTTTGAACATTAAGATTGTGATATCAATGTTAAGATGTAATTATCTCATTTTTCTCCAGAGGCTATGGGTGGATTTGGAGGGGAGAAATGGTATCTTGAGGGCTTCTGGAGACACCAAATCAAATGGGGAAGAAAGGGCATGCAGTACAAGAGGCCCCGGTCACCTAAAGGTCTGATCTGGCTGGTTCTAGCCCCAGCCATGAGCCCACCTTCCCACATGTTGTAGCATCAACCAAGATCAACCAACATGGAGGTGATACTTCTTTTTTTCCCCTCAAAAAAAAAAATCACATATTAATTCCCTTCGGCCAAACTAATTAAGTCCCTGGACTACTCTTAAGACGATTTAGTGATCATCTGAATGTTTGTCCAGTGGTTTCCATTTCCAGTGTGCCTATTACCTCCCAGTAGCCTGTGAGAAAGGCAAGGCTTACTACCTCCATTTAACAGGAGGCGAGGAGGGAGGAAGTGACTGGTCCAAGACCTCACAACCACTAAATGGGGGAGCAGGGTGCTGCTCTGGGCTTCTCAACTGTTGGCCCTGCTTAACCCTGGTTTCTTAGATCTCTGATTCTGGTTTTCTCCCCCCAGGTACAATGGCTTGGTGACCGGCACAAGGGCCAAGGGCATCATTGCCATCTGCTGGGTGCTGTCATTTGCCATTGGCCTGACTCCCATGCTGGGCTGGAACAACTGCGGCCAGCCAAAGGAAGGCAAAAACCACTCGCAGGGCTGCGGGGAGGGCCAGGTAGCCTGTCTGTTTGAGGACGTGGTCCCCATGAACTACATGGTGTACTACAACTTCTTTGCCTGTGTGCTGGTGCCCTTGCTGCTCATGCTAGGAGTCTACTTGCGCATCTTCCTGGCGGCCCGGCGACAGCTGAAGCAAATGGAGAGCCAGCCTCTGCCGGGTGAGCGGGCTCGGTCCACACTGCAGAAGGAGGTCCATGCCGCCAAGTCGCTGGCCATCATTGTGGGGCTCTTCGCCCTCTGCTGGCTGCCCCTGCACATCATCAACTGCTTCACCTTCTTTTGCCCTGAGTGTGGCCATGCCCCTCTCTGGCTCATGTACCTGGCCATTGTCCTCTCCCACAGCAATTCCGTTGTGAATCCCTTCATCTATGCCTACCGGATCCGCGAGTTCCGCCAGACCTTCCGCAAGATCATTCGCAGCCATGTCCTGAGGCAGCGAGAACCCTTCAAGGCAGCTGGCACCAGTGCCCGGGCCTTGGCAGCTCACGGCAGTGATGGAGAGCAGGTCAGCCTCCGCCTCAACGGCCACCCCCCAGGTGTGTGGGCCAACGGCAGTGCTCCCCACCCTGAGCGGAGACCCAATGGCTACACTCTGGGGCTGGTGAGTGGAGGGAGTGCCCAAGAGTCCCACGGGGACATGGGCTGTGCAGACTTGGAGCTCCTTAGCCATGAGCTCAAGCAAGCATGCCCAGAGTCTCCTGGCTTAGAGGACCCCCTGGGCCAGGATGAAGCAGGAGTGTCCTGATGGTCCATGGAGTTTGCCCTTTCCTGAGGGAAGGAAATCTTTATCTTTCTGGTTGGCTGGCCCAGTCACGTTGGGAGAAGAGTGTGCCGGGAGACCCTGCAGGCAGCTGGTTCCCACTTTGGACTAAGAGGAGGGAGCCCCAGGCTGGAGCAGCATGAGGCCCAGCAGGCAGGGTTTGGGTCCGATGAAGTAGACGTTTCATGCCGTGAGGCCCTGCATCAGGCCAGGGCTGCAGCACCAGCAGCATCGTGTCTGGGCAGGGCCCAGGCCACCACTGCAGAAGCATCTAAAAGTGCCGGCTTGTCTCCACAGAGCAGCTGTGGTGCAGCAGACTGGCCTGGCCCTGAGCTAGGGAGTGGTTCCAAAAGGTCCCCGCACCACACACATGCCACCCTCCCTAGACTTTCCTACGGTTTAGGAGCTGTTGGGCCCAGAGGTGGCATTTCACCATGTTTTTTTTCCAGAAGAAAATGCAAGTGTGAGGAAACCCTTTTTATTTTATTACCTTTGCCTCCCTGGCTGCTGGGTCTGTTGTTGGTCCTGCTGCTAACCTGGCTCCAGAGTCTGCCCAGTGAGTCTCAGGCAGTCCTCTCTCCTCTCTCACTGCCACTAGCTGCCATGCACTTATCACTCCCAGGGCCATCTCTTGGGACAACAGAGCTGGGATTGAGGACAGGGAGCTGTAATGGAGCAATGCTGGAGGAGAGGTGGAGGCTGGTAGGCCATGGGCGTGTGCCTGGGCAGCTCAGAGCTGTCCAGTGAGGGGCTCTGTCTGTCGTTCCTTATAAAGGGAATGTTTTTTTCTGAGATAAAATAAAAATGAGCCACATTGTGTTTTAAGCTTGTCCAATGAGAACGGTGTCTGAGTTACTTTCCCTGCTCCATTGCCAGGGCTGGTGTACACATACGGGTGTGTGTTGTGTATGTGTGAGTGTGTGTGTGTACGTGTAGACAGACACCCTGTCTGCCCTGGGGGCCTCTTGAGGCTTCCACTCTGGAATGTCCATGTCCAGCCCCCAGACCTGTATTTCTGAGACACCCTGCAGGAGGTGTGAGAGGAGGGGGCTCTTCCCAGCTGCTCACCATCTAGCCCTAGGCATTTTTGCTGTGGAGACCAGCTGCTCCCTCCTGCATTACCTTCCTAACATCCTTAGGGGAAGATCTCTTCTTGTACGTTACCTTCTCAGAGCTGTGCCCGCTCCCCCTGCCCTGCTCCACCCCCCAGCTGAGAGGCCACGGAAGTGTCTGGAAACATATCTGGACTGGGGCTAAACTGCCATCCCCTGAAGTCCTCTTCCCCCTATTCCCAACAAGAGAAATCTATAAGAAAAGGATGTGTCTTACTCTGACTATCAAGGCTTCCTGCCTGAGGGGTGGTACCCTCCTTTGATGGAGAAGTTTGAGGCCCAGTGGGCAGTTAGCAACCTGCCCCTGCCTGGGGTTGGCTCATGGCTGTCTGATTGCAAAACCTGTGCTTTTTTTCCTCCATTAACTTATGATTAACTATTTCAACCAACCCCAAAGGTATGAAATAATATCAGTTCTCCACAACTCTACTTAAGAAATGAAGCATCAGCCGGGCATGGTGGTTCATGCCTATAATCCCAGCACTTTGGGAGGCTGAAGCAAGAGGACTGCCTGAGCCCAGGGTTCAAGACCAACCTGAGCAACATGGCGAGACCTCGTCTCTACAGTAAATCAAAAGAATTAGCTGGGTGTGGTGGCGGATGCCTGTGGTTCTAGCTACTTGGAAGGCTGAGGCGGAAGGATCACCTGAGCCCAGTAGGTTGAGGTTGCGGTGGCCATGAGCAAGCCACTGCACTCCAGCCAGGGTGACAAAGTGAAACTGACTCAAACAAATGAAGCATCACAACCACAGATGATGTGTCTGACTCCTCCCCAATCATCTCCTGCTTCCTGTGCTTGGAAACAACCACTTTCCTGAATTACATTTCTTTCCATTGTACCTTTTTATACTTTTACTACATGGATGCATCTGTAACTATCCCCAAAACAACACAAAATTGTTTTAGCTGTCTTTCACTGTTATAGCAGAAGTATTGTAGACTGGCTGCACAGAAGAAACACCTAGGAAGCACCAAAGTCAGAGCCCCTTACCCCAAAGACACTGGGTTAATTGACCTGAGTGGATCAAGTAATTCCCCAGGGGATTTTTATGGACAGCCAAGGTTAAGAAACACTGATATAAATGCACCGAGTCCGCCCCATCCACACCAGCTTCCTCCCTCCTGGAGTCTACGCTATGGACTGACGGTGGAACAGTGGCCTGGCTTGTGCCTGGGGAGGCCAAAAGCACAGTTGCTGATGGTTCTCATGACTAGTTGGTGGGGAGAGGCCAGAAAGAGAACACAAAGGTAAGGAAGAAAGATACCTCTCTAGCATTTCCTGATGTCTCATAGGAACCAGGCTTTGTGTGCTGGGCTACATAGATGCAGGTCTTGGGGTTGGGAGGGCAGGGTCAGGGGCTCAGGAAAGGCTTCCTGGTGCAAATGTGTCCAAGTCCTCCCAAGGCCAGCTCCAGCCCAGCACTGTAGTACAGGCTGTCTCATATCCCCAGGGCTCAAGTGTCCCATGTTTATACCTACCTGTGTGAGATCCCACTGTGAGCAAGCCTGAGTGTAAGGACATGTGCACGGACATGAATATATGCATGTGTCATTCCTCTGACCATAAGTGAATACACATGTGCACACACGCATGTGCTTGAGAGCAGGGCCTACATCAACAGGAATAAGTGCCCACAGCAGCAGCATGAAGGAGACATGAAGACCGGTGAAGGGTGTGAGCAACTGCCCCACCCCCCAGGATGCTGCACTGGGTTGCTGGGGGCTACATCCTAGGTTGCTTCAAGCCCTGCAGCTCTGCCTAAGGACCCTTCTGCTCTCTCCTTGCTCTTCCCAAAAGGCTGAAGGTGGGCGCCTCATTCAGACATGAGGGTCCCATCACAGATCCATGTCTTTGGTGGCCCCAGCCCCTCTGTATAGCAAGAATGGCCAGGGCCACAGGGAGGCCTGAGAGCAGAGGCCTGGCTCAGGCTGGGTCTTGGCTCATCATTGGCCCTCATGAGACACAGGCCTCCTGGAGTGCTTCCCTTTCTCCTCCTCCACTAACCATCCCTCCCTCCTGAAAGCCCACCTATGATGCTCTTCCCATTTGTGTTCAGGCCCTTTCCTCTAGGAGGCATCATGTGGTGAGGAGGGAGCTCAGGGAGCTGGGGGAGGCAAACCACAGCAGGGCAGGGAAGAGGGGCTGCCTGGGGAATGAGAGAAAAGCTGCTGATGCCCCTGGATCTCCTGGGACTTGGCAGCCCAGAAATGGGGGGCTGGCTTTCTTTTCAACTGTGGAAGGGAAACAGGAACCTGGGGGAAGCCAACTGCTTAGTGGAAAGGGTTCTGCACAGCCTGCCCTAGTTCCTGGGCTGCAGGGAAGGTGAGTCTGTACCTAGGATGCTGCTCCTATCCTGCCATACCATGCAGTCTCCTGGCATGACCACTGCTATGGGCTCCTGCTGTGGTAGACACCCTACCCTGGAGCTCCTGTGCTGGATGAGTGCTGCCTGAGCATGCTGGGCAATGCTTCTCTGCTGATGGGAAAGGCTACCTTAGTGGGGACAAAACTCTGAAAGACTAGGGTATGCTATGAGGCAAGTGGTCCCTCCCTGGCCCTTACTTATTCTGTAAGGCTATAAGATAAGCACCTCTGCCTCCTTCCCACACTGACTGGTCATCCGTCCCAAAGCGCCCCTCACTTCAGCTTTCACTCTTCATTAGCAATCACTGTCATTGTTAGGACAGCACCTGTCAGGCTGTAGAGCCTGGGGAGGGGGCGGGAGAATGTCAGATGACTCACACAGCCTCAGAGGAGGGGGATGGACACACAGAACCCTGAGCCTAGGTGCAGGAAGTAGCTTTTTAGATCCTCTGGTTTAACTGTTTCTTTCTCCAGAGGAGAAAGAGCAACTTAGCAGAGCTTCTTGACAAGTCTCTGTCTCCCACTAGTTAGGCTTAGAGAGGGGCAGGACACCAGGAGAGGTCAGGCCAGGCTGGGAAAGTTAGTATGAGGGCTGGGCAGGCAACAGATGTAACCAACCCAGGATCATACAAGGGAGAGATTTCCCCGCCCCTCCTCCCCCCTCCACCAGTGGGAAAGGTATGGCATGGAACCATCCACACTTCTTTGCCTTGCCCAAGGAAGTAATTTTGCTTTTTAGGGAGTGGGATTTTGCAGAATCAGCCATCTGAACTGGCACCTAATGACCAACTAGGCCCTCAGACAGTGGTTAGGACCCTATCTCCAGCACTCTGCTCCTCTCCCAACTTCTTTTTTAAAAATTATTATTATTATAAAGATGTGGGGTGCAATTCAGAGTTCAGTATACAAACGTTGATTATACAGGTACCCTTGTTGATGAGGTATGCCCCTCCCTTCCCTAGCAGTTTCCCTCAACTGCCAATTCCACCCCTCTTCCCTGACAGTTTTCCACTACTGCCAGTCGTTTTCTTGTAGTATTATAATTGTTCAAGATCCATTTATCAGTAAGAACATATAGTACTCTGTTCTTTGTTTCTGTGATAGATCACTGAGTATGATCGACTCAAATCCATCCAAGTTGCTGCAAGGTCCATATGTTTGTCCTTCTTTATGGCTGCATAAAATTCCATTGTGTATATGTACCACATTTTTTTCATCCAGTTCAACTTCGATGGGCAATACGGTTGGTACCATGTTTTTGCTATTGTGAATAGAGCTACAACAAACATACGTGTGCAGGTATCTTTTTTGTAGAATGATTTGAGTTCCTCCGGGTATATTCCCAATAGGGGAATTGCTGGGTCATATGGAAGGTCAATGTCTAGTTCTTTCAGAAATCACCACACTGTCTTCCAAAGAGGTTGCACTAGTTTGCATTCCCACTAGCAGTGTAGAAGTGTTCCTTTTTCTCTTCTCCCAACTTCTTAATGAGCACCTGCTGATGCACACTGAGCCTGAGGGCAGGGCACACAGGGAGCCAGCTATCAACTAAACAAAATAAGTCAGACATCATCTGGTAAGGTCTGTGAGGGAGACACAAGCTCAGGGAGATCAGGGAAGAAGTTCACACCCAATCAGGGAGTCAGAATGGCTTTGCAGAGGGGACCAAGTTGAGTTAGCCTTTTAAAGGCCTGTAGTCAGCTCCAGAGCCCATCTTTTCAAGGTGTTTGTTAGGAAATAAGAACGAGGAAGATCTGAGTAAATCTGCGCCTGATTTACATCTGCCTACACTGAATTATGCCATCCATTTGGAGGCAATTTTCAAGTTAAAATGTTGTCAGAGGGTTGTCACAGTTTTGATCTTTCTTTTCTGTTCTTTCTCAACCCACCCACATTTTCTAGTTGGGTTGGAAAGGGGAGTGAGGGGGAAAAGCCTAGTTTATATTCAGAGATTTTTGGAATTGTTAAAGATAGATGAGACTTTTAGAAATTATCGTGTTTTCTCTTAGGAAAATTTAGCCCCAGAGACCAATGTCACACCTGTTCTGTTGGTTCTAGAACTTACAGGGGGACTGAAAGGACATGGCTAGGCATTCTGCAGTTATCCCCAGACTATCTCTTGGGGTTTCAGCTTGATTAATTTTTCTGCATAGTTCAGGAATGCCAAATGATCCCACCACTTGCTTCTTCAACCCTCAACCCTGCTTCACTGAGCTCTGAATGGGGAATCAAAGAACCAGGTTTAAATCCTAGCCTTAGCCAGGCTCAGTGGCTCAGCCTGTAATCCCATACCTTTGGGAGGCTGAGGTGAATGGATTGCCTGAGCCCGCGGGTTCGAGACCCGCCTGGGCAGCAAGACCT